GCCCAACATCAAAGCCCACTTCGCCATTCCTCTTAAGAGAAGTCCTAAATGAGACGTGGAAGACCTTAGGACCTATAAATACATTTTTTAGCAGTCCTAAACGGGTGTGTGCTCCTGTAATGAGATTTTGAGCCACCAAACTTTTTTTTTTCTAGGGTCAGAATCCCCAGATCCATAGTTCTTTCTCCTTTCTATCTTATTAACTTTTATGTTTCATCTTTTTCATTCTTTCATGTCTCTTATCATTCCTTGCATCATGTAGATTTGTCCCAGAGAGTCAAGTTGTTTGAAGAAGTTTTCGATAGGCATACATATCGATTAGGATTTCTAAGTTTCTAAACTATATTCTGGATCTCATCTCTTCTAAGTTGTTTATATTGCATAAGAGTAGATTCATGACCTATTCACTGAGCCTAGGATCGATCAGAGCCAAGAGGTGTTGTATCAGATCATCCATACCTAGCTTCAGAAGAACATAGTCGCTATAGGAGTCGAGAGCTACCTATAGAGAAGATGTGAGCAGACGAATTTAATGTCTTATGCATGATCTTATTTCTGGCATGAGAGCGAGAGTTAATTGTCAGATCTAAGTGATTAGTTGATTAAGATGGCGAGAGTTGGTTAATCATACATATATCTATTCTAGTTCCATGCAGATCCCAGAAACAGATGAAGATAAATCGCTCGGAAGCTAATTGGAAATACCACTAAACATCGATTAGAGTAAACTGGAGAAGTCTAAATCGCCACCTATGAGTTTAGAGTCTATAGTTTGAGTCGATATGCTTGAGATATTCTTTTAACAATTCATAAGCATTGCATATTATTTCTTGTGAATATTAGATTAGGTTTAGTTTAGGATTCTTAACCAAAACCCCAAATCCCATGAGTTTATGACTTTGCTTACTTTCTCAGTTTGTTGTTTTTCGCAGATTAGACATCCTCCCTGTAGATCAACACCCTAAGTTCTACAACGTAAATATGTGCACTTGCAGACACTAGGGTTTTATAAATTTAAAACTTTTTGAGGACCAACAGACTTGTTAAAAACAAACCCTAGGCTCGCAAGCCCATAGTGATTGGCCTCGGGGTAGCAGTCTAGAGTTTAAAAATTATAAAACCATAATGTCTGAAAGTGCACAGATATACGTTGTAGGACATAGAGTGTCGATCCACAGGGTAGATGTCTAATGTGCAAGGAAACACCAAACTGGGAGAGTAAGCAAAGTCATAAACTCATGGGGGTTTTGGGGTTTTTGGTTATGGAAACTAACACTAATCATAACCTAATATTTACGGGAAACTAAATGAATCCAAATGAGTTGCTAGAGAATATCTAGAGGGTGTTCGACTCAAACTAAGGACTCTAGAATTATAGTGGGCGATTTAGACTTCTCCGGTTTACTCTAATCAATGTCTAAGCATTTCCAATTAGCTTCCGGGCAATTTATCCTTATCTAATTTCTGGGATTGCATGGAACTGGAATAAGCATATGTATGGCTAACCAACTCTTGTCATCTTAACCAACTAATCACTTAAATCTGACAATTAAATCTTGCTCTAATGCGAGGAATAAGATCATGCATTTACTACTGAATTTGTTTGCTCACATCTTCTCTACAGGTAGCTTTGGACTCATGTAGCAACTATGTTCTTCTGAAGCTAGGTACGGATGATCTGATACAGAACTCTCGTGGCTCTGATCGATTCTAGGCTCAGAGAATAGGTCATGAATCTACTTTCATGCAGTATAAACAACTTAGAAGAGATTAGATCCAGAATATGGTTTAGAAACTTAAAAATCCTAATCGAACATGTATCTTATCGATGACTCTCTCGAAACTTGACTATCTGGGACTAATCGAACAAGATGTAGGAAATGATAAAAGACATGAAAGAATGCATAAGATGAAATAGAAAATCTAATTAGATAAACAGGAGACAAAACAATGGTTCAGGAGAAAAATCCTCATCTCCATCGCCTAACCCTAAGAAAATAAAGTTTGGTGGCTCAAAAACTCATTACAGGACCACACACCCGATTAGGACTGCTAAGAAATGTATTTATAGGTCCTAAGGTCTTCCAGGTCTCATTTAGAGCTTCTCTGCAGAGGAATGATGAAATGGGCTTTGATGTTGGGCCTTGTGGCTCGGCATAGGTCCACCGGGGGTGAGAGTCCGGGGGTGAGAGTCTTCCGGGGCAGGTGGAATGCTTGTTTCCCGCGGGTGAGAGTCTTCTGGGACTGGTGAATTTGGTCAATTTTCTCTTCACATAACTTTTGATTGCACCGTTAGATTGTCCTGATGTAAAGTGTTATGGAAAGCTTGTTGTCTTCTTTTGAATGTCTCCAAATTTGAGAAAGATAAAACGCTGAGAAAGTTTTCATTCGGGGCTGAACTTCTGACGGTCTGATTCTGAGCTAAAAATCTGGATTTCTTCTATTTTGTCATCTTTTTCCCTAAGTTTCCTGAAAAGAGCTTTGAAACTACAAACATAGAGAAATCATGATAAAAGTTCCTAACACATTAAAAAATTTTGAAAAATCATTTGAAATCAACGGTGAAAATGGGTACAAATATGGTGTTATCACTAGGGATCGAAATTCATCGCACACCAGCTGTTCTTCGTCTCACTTAGCTAAAATACACAACTGATCTCCTCTCTCGCACTAATATGACAGGAGCTAAGCCTGTGGTCACACCGATGTTCTCCACGCAATCTCTTGTCAAAGCCGGTGTCAACCTTGGTGATGTTGACGCCAAAGAGTATCAGACAATTGTGAGAAGTCTTCAGTATCTCTCCTTCACACGTCCTGATATTGTGTTTGCTGTGAATCGCTTATCCCAGTTTATGCATTGTCCAACGACTGATCACTAGGATGCTGTGAAACGGGGGTTTTGTTACTTAGCTGGAATAATTACTCATGGCATCACTCTTCGTTCAAACTCTCCGATCACACTTCATGCCTATGCCGATGCAGATTGGACAGGAGATCGCGATGATTACTCTTCTACGAATGGGTATATTGTCTATCTTGGGCTTCACGAAATCAAAAAGGTGTGGCTCGTTCGACTACAGAAACAGAGTATCGGGAGTTTCAGAGGCTGCGTCAGAAGTTAAATGGATCGGCTCTCTTCTGTCTGAGCTTGGCATCAACCTGCCAGTTGTTCCTACTATTCACTGCGACAACATTGGTGCCACATACATCTGCGCTAATCCAGTCTTCCATTCCTGTATGAAGCACATCGCTCTAGACTACCACTTCGTTTGAGAACTTGTTCAAACTGGTCTTCTTCGTTCTCTCACATCACTTCCACTAATCAGCTGGCTGACACTTTTACAAAGCTACTGCCGCGAGCACGGTTTCTGGATCTAGCTGTGAAGATTGGAGTTACCTCCGGAGCTCTATCTTAGGGGGCGTGTTAGGATAATACCAAAGGATATTCCCTATGATAAGATATTCTCTTGGGATTAGATTTGGTTCAATCCGTTTGTATCTAGATAGAGTCAAATCTCTCTTACATGTTGTATATAAACATGTGTAACTCTTCATAATCTATATACAGAAAATGACACGCTCTTCAATAATAACCACGAGAATAAAGTAAAGGAACAAGGAAGAGAATTGAAAACAGAGGAAAATGCAAGATCGATGATTTTGGGTCCTCTTGGACACCTACATGGATATGGGTTTTTGCTTTCGGCCCATTTGAATACTTAGAGAGAGGGTCTATCCATGGGCTGCACCTCCCCTAGAGGAATAGTCAGAGCCCTTCCATATGTCTGGGATGTACTCTGAGTTATAAAAATAAAATGATTTTGGGACCGAATGGACGAGAGTTTTTTTTATTTAAGATGGAACTGAATGGACGAGAGTTTTATGTATCGAAAGCTAAGTATTTGGCGAAAGTATTTTCAATGAAAAGAGTAGGATTTAGAGAGTGAAGAATTGTGTCCTCTTTCTAGGGAAGAGAGGGTTTTATTTATATAGTTTAGCTGATCCAGGTCAGCATATCGTGTTAATTTTCCTCAGTTGGGTTGGGTTTTTGATCTCCTTGTTGGGTTTGGTACTTTGATACTCGAGAGTTTCTCACCAACTTCCCTTGCTGCTTATACTCTTCCCCCAATATGATTATCCAGAGTCGCATAGATGTTGACCATTTGTACCCTGTGGGTTTGGTGTGCCGGTTGATAAGAACACCCATATTTGTATCTTCTGTATGAGAAGTGATCAGTCACTTAATTACTTAAAATGACATTCGTAGGGGGAAATCCAAGTATATAATATCGGCACCCGTGTGAAGAGTATAAGTTCGTTGTTGCTGTTTACCTTCGAGTATTGCTACCTAATTATTTATGCTTACCTTCCCATGCATTAATGCCCGGCTCTATGTTGGATGTTGAAGGATAGACATGTTCATGTTGAATTACTTGTCTCCTTACTACTAGAGGCGGCTCAAACATAATGAATCCTTATTCTCAATATTGGAAATTGACTGTTTCTCATTTTTGTAATAAAAAAGGGCTCTCATTTTGGAAGAAAACATCTAAAAAACAAAAAAATAACAAAAACAAAAACAAAAACAAAAAAAAAATTGGCCCTGAACATTTGCAAACCTTACTCTCGCTCAAATCTGCCCCCATGCCTACTACCGCATTATCTATGTCACATGGCACGAGTTGGCGGGCTAAGGAAAAATTGACTCTTATTCTAATCCAAACCACTTATCCCCTTACATCATTCAATAAATGTACTATAATTTACTTTTGATTCCCTTCTTCAGAGGGAGTCCATGAATGATAATGTGGTAGATAGCAACTATCTATTTTAAAAGAGTTTAAACTTAGTAAAACATTTGAACTTTGACCTTTTCATCCTCCCTCCTTCCCTCCCCTCGCTGAAATTATGAAGCCACTTAGCAAATATCCTTCTGAGTCTCATATAAATTAACAATTCTCAATCACCACTTTCTTGAAAAAGAACACAAGTCTAAAACAATGTATTCTTCATTTTCTCTACCCAACCGCTACGTTTCTATTCCCATCTTGGCCATAAATCTCTTTCTTATACACATTGTTTCATCCCTCAACCTTACCAATGAGTATCTCAACCACAAATGCCTCGTTAGTCAAGGGAAATATAAACCTGGAAGTAAGTACGAGTACAACCTGTACGGTCTCTTCCGTGACATCGCTAAGAAACCTTATCTTCAGGTCGGTTTCTCACACACAACTTCTAATACCGGTCCCGATGCTGTCACCATTATATTCCAGTGCCGTGGTGACTCCTACGGGTCTCATTGCCGTTCCTGTGCTGCCACCGCCGTTCACGGGGTAATGTCACTTCAGCATTATCAATTTACATATATACAAACTAGTAGTGGAATATTTTTAAACTAGTTGCTATTTTTGGGAATAAAACTTGTTGTTGTCCTTTTTGTGAGAATTAGCCTATAAACTATACTTGTATTGCACTGTGAAACCCTATATTAAAGCCAAAAGAGAAATCAGTACAGGAAACCAAAAGTCAGACTAGAGTAGAAAAATTATCATAGCTGTTGCGTAGAAACCTAAATATAATATTGATGCTTTCATATGCTAATATATTAAGAAGAGTTGCAAATCATTATAATCATTTACTATGGAAATAATTACGATAAAAAAATCTTTATACAATATGTACATGGATATGTATATTGCAGTATCTTCAGAGGTGCCCAGGAAACAAAGGGGGAACAATATGGTACGACCAATGTTTTCTCGATGTTAGTATGATCAATGACAAAGCCCCAAGGAAAATCAATTACGAGAATATATTCTCTATGCACAACCCAAACGACGTGATAGGGGATAGAGAATCGTTTAAGAAAGAGACGAGGGATCTCTTCTACGAGCTAATTCTGAAAGCTGATATACCAACCGCGGACGGCAACAACTTCCTATATTACGCGGCAGGGGAGAAAAAGATCGGGAGGAATAAACTGTATGCAATGGTGCAGTGTGCGCATGACATATTAGATTGCAAAGGTTGTTTGGAATGGAGTATTAAGGAGCTTTCTAAGAGCTCCGACGGTAAACAAGGAGCGAGAGTTTTAGGTACGATATGTAATATAAGGTATGAGCTATACCCTTTCCTTAGAAATTAAACATTGTTTGATGACAATTTCCAATTGTGTAATGGTTTTGTCTACTTTCCAGGTCTCTTTTTTTTTTTTTTAGCGTTAACCATTTTTTTGTCTCTTTTTCTGTTTCGGTTCCATCTTTTTAGGTCCTATGAATATTTAATAATAGGGTCCTAAAATTAGTAATGAGATAACAGGTTCTTCTAATCTTTCTTAATTACAGATGCTTTTAAAAATATAACAAACTTATGAGTGTTTGGTAAAATGATCATAAGAAAATAAAGTTTACCTACATCATCAATACTTCTGCATGAAACGTCATTGGATTAGATATGTGAGCTTCTGGAATGGATTTAACCAAGTTTAAGATATGTATAATTCTGAAAATGATTTCACCAAGTATAAGAGTTGTCTACTTCTGAAAGGATTTATATTTATTTGTTACATGGCTACATATCCCAACTAAATTATTGTATTTTCTTTCTACTATAAGAAATAAAATGCATAGTGAAATTGACATGCACAAACTAACATATATTATGTTGCCAACATTATGACCATCAATCTGCTCATTTTTCTAGTTACGCCATACTGAAATCCTTCAGATCTATTATATTAAAACAGAAGCACATTTAATACTTGCTTCTACACACTCCTAATTTTTTTTTAAGTGTTTAAAAATAATTTTAATAATTATTTATATTTAATTTCGAAAATTAGTTATTAATTTAAATATTTTTAGAGTTCCTTTATAGATAATTTAGATTTGATTTGATTTGATTAAAAATAATAAATCAGATATTAATTTAGATTTGATTTAAAGATTCTAATTTAAATAATATTTATACTATTAAACATTTTGATCAAAAATATCTAGAATTTTTGAAAAAAAAATTCACATATGAAAAATAATGGTCATATTTGAAATATAAAATATTTATAATGATGTAAATGATATGATATTTATGTTGTTTATATAATATATTTACGATTATAATTTATTTACAAATTAATAATAAAATAATAGGTAACATTCAAATGTATAATTTAAATATTAAAAATATATTTTTTAAAATTCATAGAACTAAAAATATATATAAAAAACCGGGTTAAAAATATTTTGGTAACTAATATCACTAATTTTGAATTATACATGTATATCGAAAATATATTTTTCATACAAAATCAAAACATAAAAAATTAAAAATTATTGCATACACTATAATGTGGTTTGAAAAACCAGTTGTACACTCCCTTCGTTGATTAAATTTTAGAAAACTATAATGCTAAATAATATTGTTAATACATCTCAAACTTTTAACAAATATTTATATTATACGGTAATATGAACGGAAAAATTAGAATTATGTTTTTATAATAGTTCATTTTGAATTAATATTAGCGGACAGGTTAAAATTATATTTTTTATGATCATAATTAATTTTAATACTATAAAAATATATCTAAACACAAAAATCAATATTTTCGCTTATTAAAAAATATATTTATAAAAATAATTATATCTGAACTCAAAAACACAAATTATATTACAAAATTTGTTAAAAAATAAAAAATATTCCCGTGCGGATGCACGGGGTTAGAATCTAATTTTGAATTAAAGCTCACCTGGACTCTTTAACTAACCGACATATAAATATCTATATACTTATTTGTGTAGTGATTTGCTTACGTGTCGCGCTCACAGCAATTTTCACAGCCTTTTGCTTACGTGTTAGCTCCAGAATAAATTTCAGCCGCAAAAAGACCGTTTAACCTTATTTTCCAATTATGTGTCATTTTTTATTGGTTTTTATCTGATGATATTAAAAAAAAAACTTAAAACAAACCGGTTTAAATTATTATGGTTTAATGTTTAATTTCATGGTCATCAAACCATTTTTAAAATTATATATAACCAAAATTTTAAAAAAAAAATTAACAAAAACATTTTTTAATAAAAAAAAATAGAATCTATATCTCTTAGTGTTTATCATTTCTTATATTTCGAAATTTAGAAAAATCTAATAAAAATGTTAAAAGAAACAAAAAATGGAAACTATTTAAATAGTAATGGAATGTCGTTTCAAAAAAAAACTAATATTTAAAAAAAAACTCTAACAAAAAATTTTTTAAAAAAAAAAAAATATATATATATATATATATATCATTAATAGAATGACAGTATTTGTGATATTTAAAACACATAAAACAATAATTAAATCGAATAATTTTATACAGTAATTCAAAAAATTACGTCTAAAATACATAGAACAGTGATCAAAATATCTCTAAACTATTTAAACTAAATTATTTGGATTCTAATATGTTTTTATTTACTCTTTTTTATTCTATATTGTTTTCACGATCATATCTTCCAACAGAAAAATACAAGAAAATCTAACAAACAAATATATTCAACAATAAAAACAAATGAATCCAAACTACTATTAGATTTTCAAACAATCAAATGAAAAAATATATTTTTGCGCAGGAAAGTTAACTAGTATTTATTTGTTTGTTTACAAAAAAAAGTTGATAAACAATTTAAAAAATCAATCACCGCAAAAATAATCCAGCTTTCTTTCTTTCTATTCCGTATTTAGTCTCGTGTAAATAGTGGATGAATAATTATTTTTTTGAATTTTCCAAAAGTTTTTTTTTTACTAAGGCAAAGAACTCGTTGAATATTCAAAAGTTATACGTCGAGAAAATGCGAAAGGCATGATCTTTGTCACCTTTTAAAAAATCATAAAGAGGTGGTGAGAACTTTAGGTTGGTCGTGGACATCGACTCTCTCCTCGCACTAGAATTAGATAAACACTTCTCTCCCTCTATTTTCATATTCATCATAAACTAGTAAATCTGTTCATCCCACAACTCTTAGAATCTCAAAAAAAAAAAAAAAAAAAAACTCTTATAATATTTCAAGAGATCGATTCATATATGGATGATCCTCAGGTTCCTCGAGTTACATCCAATTATTCAAGTATTCCTCTACTTGGTTGCATCATAGACACTCTTGTTCATCTTTTTACGGACTCCAACACAATCTTTTCTGACGAACAAGGCAAGGAAATCGTAGACGTGGCGGTCGAAGAAAATCGTGCAGCTCATAAACACTTTAGGCAACTCAGGTGTGCTAAAATCAATTAGACTTAAAAGTTAAGTATTACTTGATATTACAGGTTTTGTCGAAAAGGGTGGAGGCCAGAACAACCCATAGTTGGAGTCCCTATCACAGACGAAGAAGCAGGGCTGCGAAGAAGCCCTAAGGGTTTCAGCTTCAGTCAAAGAGTTTCACCAGTTTGTAAAAGTCTTACTATGTTTTTAATTTGTGATAATATCTTAATTGATAATGAATTTTGTTGTTCTCTCTAAATTGACATAGAAATATATTTATTTACAAAAAAAAACTGAGAAACAATTTTAAAATCAATCAGTGTGAAACTAATTCAGCTTATTTTTTTCCTCTTCCATATTTAGGCTTGAGCAATAATAAGCGGTTGAATTATTTCTTTGACTGTTGAAAATTTATACGTAGAAAAGAGTGAAGAATGAGGAAGACATTTGATAACTCACTTTTTTAAAAGTCATGAAGGGGTGGTGAGAACTTTAGGATTACCTTGTAGCATCTTTTAAGTCTTGTTAGCCGGCTCAATGTTCTTGCCGAGATTTTACTCCGGCCGGTTGAGAATTTCGCCGAGCTGGCTATTGGGAAGTCTTGAATAGTCGCCTTTAAATGTGTTAAAATGGGTTGAAGTTGATGAGTCAACCCCACCTAATCTAAGGGGGTGTTATTCAATCTGTATGTTGAAATCAACTCCACTAGATTAGAGTATATCAGATTTTAAATTTTTTTTAATTCATTTAGAATATAATGTATATGAGTTGTTTAAAATTTTAAATTACTTAGCAGTGTATTTAGAAAGTCACATGCTATTATTTAAAATCTAATAGAATAGAATTCTCAATAAATTTTAGATTTGAAAAGATTAAAGAAATAAAAAATCTAAATCACAAATCAGAACGATTACTAATCCAGAAATATATTACTTTTTTCTTTGATGATTTATAGAGATAGAGAGAGAAGGAAGAGAGATGTGTGCTAAGAAAAAGAGAGAATAGTGTGAAATTGAGTTTTCATAATAATAAATCGCTTGATGAGAGAAGGGAGAGAGAGAAGGGAGAGAGAAATGGAGGAAGAAAAAAAGACGTATGAAAAATGAAAAGACAAAATGGAGGGAAAAGAAAAAAAAAATTGGAGGGATGAGAGAATGATATATTTGATCGACTAATACCTGGAGGGAAGAAAAAAAAACTATTAATTATTTTGTTGAATTTTATAATTATCAAAATCTAAGGGTAAAATGTTAGATTTTGATTGCTACATTTAACACATAAAAATAGGTTCAAATTCAGATAAAATCAGTTGTAAAAATCTGTTAAACATGAATAACATAAGATTTTAATTGACTTATTCAATTCTTTAATTGAATAGCAATGGATTTCAAACTCTATTAATAAAGAGATTGTAAATACATGAACCAATAACATTTGATTTTGAAAGAAAAATCAAAATCAATTATTGAATAACAATGGATTGTGGATGGATTTAAACTCTATTAAAAACTCTGATTGAATACACCCCCTAAACCATAAATTCTAATGAGTTTTTGGAGTATTTTGTGTTAGGAGACCTTGGAGTTTATGAGATCGATTTAAAAAGAAGTTTAACATTCGTGTATATTTCTTTATTATATTAGGTAAAAAAAATTATTATCAAATATGTAAAGAACTTGTTAGTCAAGTTATACCATTGTGTAAATAAGCTTATTGGCTAAATCAATAAAACTGAGAGAAACTGTTTATACTTCTAAGGTTTCCTCCAAAATCTAAAATTAGTGACATGTTATACTTTTTATTTATAAGACTGAGAGAAACTATTTATACTACTAAATTGTTTTTAAAAACAATTTGTTTTGTTATGATACTTGATTTATGTAAGTTTTCTAGAATGTCTACTAAAACAAATGTGGATTTGGAATTTCCCTTCCTATTATATTCAATTGGTTGCGAGCCAAAGCCTATTCGAAGCCATTACCATATATATGGGGAAATATTTGCCTAAAGAGTTGTGGAGAAATCACATGATATTCTGACATTCGGTGCCTACTTTTGAGTGTTATCCTTCGATATAAAGAGCTAATTGAAGGAAAGGATGGGAAAATTGACGCTCTTATGCAATCTATATGCAAAGAAAGAGGTTTGGGCTGTTAATTGGGTGGAACAATGTTTGAAGAACGTCAATAAGAAAAATAATACAGCAGGAAAATTAGGTGTTGATGGAGGTGGAGAGACTGAAGAGGGACCGTCACATAGTTTGGGTAAACGTTCGTTAAAAATTCCGTCAAAAATGGACATGTTTTCTTGTAGTGAAAGCTCTTATAATATCTCAAGAGATCGATTCTTAATTTCTTATGGATGATCTTCACGTTCCTGGAGTTGCATCCAATTGTTTAAGTAATTTTCCTTTTCTTCCTTGCAAGTTGCAACATAGACACTCTTGTTCATCTTTTTACCTACTCCAAAACAATTTTTTTCTGACGAACAAGGCACATAGTTCGTAGATGTGGCAGTCGAAGAAAATCGTGCAGCTCATAAACACTTTAGGCAACTCAAGTGTGCTAAAAATCAATTAGCCTAATTAAAGCTTGTTATCTCAATGTTTCATATTTCTCCAGCTTGCTTGGAGCTCAAGATCAAGTCATTAATGGTGGAAACTAAGTTAAAACAAATGCAATGAAGATATTAGATATGTCAGGGCCAGAACTCACAACCTTTCAAATCAGTCTATGATATTTTTATCAATCACCTTTCATCTTAGGTGGTTACTTATTGAGATTGGTGTACTAGCTACAATGCATGTAAGACTTTAAAGTTGATTCTCGCTGAGGCCTAACCTCCCTTTTTTCTTTCTCCTAAAAGTGCGACTTTTAAGCGATAAGGTGCCGTCGTTCGCCTCCGTCGTCCGCCGCCGGCGTCTCTCCGGACGTCGGCCTCCTTTCCCTGGCCCCCTGGTGGTTCCTCCTTCCCTCATGGCCAAGAAGAAATTAAAGAAATCCCCGCCTGCAAAGGGTCTCGGCTCTTCTTCGCCTGAGTCGTCGGCCCCTGGATCTGTCCCTGGAGATGAGTCTCAGGCTGATCCGGTGGCTCCTCCGTCGGATCCTCTAGCTCTCCCCCCTTTGGTGGATGAGGCTGCCGCAGTCTCGATTGCTGTGCCGCCGCCAAACCCTAGTTTGGATTCTTTCAGATCTGAAGTCCCAGAGATCGATGTCGCCTCAGCTGATCCTGAGTTTCCATCCTCAGCTATCCCTAGTGTCGATGTCAGTGGCTCGAAGGCTACTGCTGACTCTGCCTGCGCTGATATAGATGCGTCTTCCCGCTCTCAGCCAAAGCAGTCCCCATCGCCAGCTGACACCTGGAATTCTTTCGTCAAAGGATCATCCAAGCAGTTTAAGAAGAAAGGTGAATCTTTCACTCTCCCAAACGGGGAAGTCTGTCTGAAGATTCCAAACAAGGTCATCGAGAGAAACAAAAAATCGTGGGACTTTTTTGTTTTAGGACAATTCTACTCTGAGCCTCCGTCGCAGGGAACGGTTCATAACATTGTGAATGGGATCTGGAGCAAGCAGTATAGAGACATCTCTGTGTCGAAGATGCCCGGAAATGCTTACCTGTTCAGGATTCCAACTCTTTCACTAAGAACAGGGTCATCAGTCAATGTCTGTGGCAGATTGAAGGACAAACCATGTTTGTCGCTAAGTGGGAGCCAGGTGTCGTTCCCGTGAAGCCTGAGCTGAATTCTGCCCCAATTTGGTTAGAGCTTCGTGAGGTCCCCTTCCAGTTCTTCAATGAAGAATGTCTCTATGAAATCGCCGGATTAGTTGGAGACTCAAAGCACCTTCACCCCACCACTGCAAACAAAACAAACTTAGAAGTCGCAAAGGTGTTTACGATCATTGATCCGCGAAAACCGCTCCCATAGGCAGTCAACGTTAAATTTGACTCAGGTGATATAAAAAGAATCTTGGTATCCAGTCCTTGGATGCCTCCGATTTGCTCTTTCTGCAAAGAGATAGGGCACAGCCTGAAGAGATGCTCAAGAGCTCCCATAACCTGTAAAGCCTGCAACTCATCTGGGCATAACATGGAAACCTGTCCCAAAGGTACATCTCAGCTATCCAAGGGGAAGAAAACTCGCCGTGGCAGGTCTAAGAGTAAACAGCGTGTGACACTGGAGTACAGAGCAATACCGAATCAACCTTCAATCCAGGTTTCTGATTCGCCTGTTTGTCTCCTGGGGTCGGGTAAAGACTTTGTTCAAGGTGAAACTAGTTCCTCAAAGCCTGCCATCCCCAATGAGCAGGGTAAGGACATTATCGCCAGCCGTAAAAGCAGCTGCACTTCGGATGCTGAACATGATTCCTCGGATGTTCAGTCGGCTGAGTCCGATCTTGAAGAGGGTGAACTAGTGGTTGAAAAGATGTGGAAAACGGTACAGTCAAAGAAGAAGCAGACTGGTACGAAGGAAGTCAGGGGCAAGGGCCCCAAATCAGCTTAAATTATGTGTACAGACCTTTTTTGTTGGAATGTCCGCGGGTTTAACATATTCAGTCATAGGAAGGGCTTTAAGAAGTGGTGTAGAATGAATAAACCCTTTTTTGGCGGCATTCTGGAGACCCATGTCAGCAGCCTAAGAATCACAAGTTTATTAGTGATTTGTTGCCTGGATGGTCCTCCTCGGATAATTATATATTTTCGGATTTGGGAAAAATTTGGGTCGTCTGGCATCCGTCTGTCAAGGCCACCGTTATCTCGAGCTCTCTTCAGATGGTGTCTTGTGTTGTGGAGCTTCCAAACTATCAAACCGCGGTTGTTGTTTCTGTCGTTTACGCCTCTAATCAGGTTGATGGGAGAATGGATTTGTGGAGTGAGTTAGTGGAGTTGTCTAAGAGTAATGCAGTTTCTGGCAAGCCTTGGATTGTTATGGGCGATTTTAACCAAGTTCTTCATCCAACCGAGCACTCCAAAGCAGTCAGCCTAAATGTGGACAAGAGAACTAGGGATTTCAGGCGATGCTTGTTGGAGTCTGATCTTTCTGACCTTACTTTCAGAGGCAGCACCTTTACTTGGTGGAACAAAAGGAAGCTCGCGCCTGTTGCGAAAAAACTGGACCGGATCCTTGTAAATGACTGTTGATCATCGACTTTCCCTAGTTCCTATGCTCATTTTGATAATCCTGACTTTTTTGACCATGCCTGTGCCAGAGTAATGCTTAAGCTTCCCTCGGTAAATCAGAAATCCCCCTTTAAGTTCTATAACTTTCTTCTGCAGAATCCTGAGTTCCAGAACCTCATCTGCAATCATTGGCATTCCATTAATGTTAAGGGCTCAGCTATGTTTCGGGTTTCAAGCAAGCTTAAGAAGCTGAAGAGAATCATCAAATCTTTCAGCAGGGACAATTATTCGGGCCTGGAAAAAAAGGTGATTCACGCCCATGAGAAAATGCTGCACTCGCAAAACAGGATGCTCCTTGATCCCTCGCCTACAAATGCTGTTGAGGAGCTTTGTCATCAGGAGCAATGGCATATCCTATCTCAGGCCGAGGAAGTTTTCTTTCTTCAGAGGTCAAGAATTTCCTGGCTTGGGCAAGGTGACAGTTGCACCCGTTTCTTCTTCCGTATGGCAGCCTCTAGAAAATCTGCTAACCACATCCATTTCATGGAAGATGAGAATGGCTCTCAGATAGCCTCCCAGAAAGGAATCCACGATCACTGCATTGCTTATTTCTCTAACCTTCTGGGAGGCCAGGTGGATCCCCCTATGTTTATTCAAGAGGATCTAGACCTGCTTTTGCCAATTAAATGTTCCTCGCATCAGCAAGATCAAATGGTCCAGGATTTCTCAGACGATGACATCAAAAAAGTTTTCTTCTCCCTTCCGAGAAACAAGACGAGCGGACCAGATGTTTATTCTGCCGAGTTCTTCATTGGCTGTTGGGACGTTGTGGGCACGGAGGTGACTGAGGCGGTTAAGGAATTTTTCAGGTCGGGTCGCATTCTTAAACAGTGGAACGCCACATCGTTGATCTTGATTCCCAAAGTTCCAAATGCTGCTCGCACTACTGACTTCAGGCCTATATCCTGCCTGAACACGATATACAAAGTGGTTTCCAAGCTCTTGGCTCAGCGCCTCAAATGCATCTTGCCTCAGGTGATATCCCCTTTCCAATCCGCGTTTATGCCTGGAAGACTTCTTGCTGAAAATGTCCTCTTAGCAACAGAATTGGTTCATGGTTATCACCGAAAAGGTATACAACCCCGTGCAATGCTGAAAGTTGACCTGCGTAAGGCTTTCGATTCTGTTCGTTGGGACTTCATCATTGCTATTCTCAAAGCTCTAAACATTCCGAGCAGGTTTGTTAACTGGATTGCTGAGTGCATAACCTCGCCATCCTTTTCAATCACAGTTAACGGTTCATCGGCGGGTTTCTTCTCAAGCACTAAGGGAATCCGGCAACGAGACCCGTTGTCTCCATACCTCTTCGTGCTCGCCATGGAAGTCATGTCCAAGCTTCTCATATCGAGATTTGACTCTGGTTATATCGCTTATCATCCGAAAACATCAGATTTGAAAGTCTCTCACTTGATGTTCGCGGATGATGTTATGGTCTTCTTTGATGGGACCTGTGCCTCCCTCCATGGTATTAAGGAGTGTCTTGATGATTTCGCTAGCTGGTCCGGCCTCTATTTAAACGCTGAGAAGACTCATCTTTATCTTGCGGGTCTAGATCCTATTGAAGCCTCAGCCATTGAGAGATTCAATTTTCCTTTGGGAACCCTGCCTATCAGGTACCTTGGTCTGCCACTTATGTCTCGCAAGCTGCGTATCTCGGAATATGAGCTTCTCCTGGATAAACTCACAAAACGGTTCTGTGGCTGGGCAGTGAAGACTCTATCATTTGCTGGAAGGGTTCAGCTCATTGCCTCGGTTATCTCGGGAACTGTCAATTTCTGGATCTCGACTTTTATGTTACCGCTGGGCTGCATTCGTAAGATTGAGTCTCTTTGCTCTCGCTTTCTTTAGTCGGGTAATACTGAAATCCATAAAAAAACTAAAGTCTCCTGGTCGGTGGTGTGTCTTCCTAAAGATGAAGGAGGACTCGGTCTTAGGCGCTTCTCCGTCTGGAACAGAGCTCTGTGTATGCGCTTCATTTGGCTGTTATTCTCAGATAATAATTCTCTTTGGGCTTCATGGCAGAAAAGATACAATCTAGCGGGGAAGAGCTTCTGGGCTCTTGATGAAAGTCCGAATGATTCCTGGATATGGAGAATGCTTTTTAAATTGAGAAGTGAAGCTTTTCAGTTCATCAGAGCTTTGCTAGGAAATGGTCGACGGCTGCATTTCTGGTTTGACTACTGGACGCCGCTTGGTTCCCTTCTGCAGCTCATAGGCCCCTCTGGTCCTCGAAGCCTCAGGATTAGTATCGATGCCACGGTTTCCCAAGCAATTCGGAACGACAGATGGTCTTTAGCTCTCCCTAGATCAGACGAAGCTCTTCTTCTTCATGCACACTTAACATATGTGCAAGTGCCTAAGGCCTCGGATATGGATGACTATTTCGAGTGGGTTGCTGATGGCAAGGATGGTTCGATTTTCTCGTCTAAAAACACCTGGAATGCCATTAGACCAAGAGATGCAAAGAAGGATTGGGCTCCTCTCATTTGGTTCAAGGGATTCATCCCTAAGCCTGCTTTTACGATGTGGGTAGCCAATCAAAATCGCCTGCCTACTAGAGATCGACTGATTTCTTGGGGCATGAATATTCCTTCGCATTGCTGCCTTTGCTCGACTGAAGTAGAAACCAGAGATCACCTTTTCCTAACTTGCGATTACAGTGCTGAAGTGTGGTGGCTGGTTGTCTTTAGATTCAATCCGCCTCCTATTTTTTGCACCAACTGGGATGAGCTCCTGTCCTGGATCAGAGTCTCCTCTCGCCTCGCACCTTCTCTTCTCCGAAGATTAGTGGTCAAAGCAACGATCTTTCACCTTTGGAAACAGCGTAACAACGTCCTTCACAACCAAATCTCTCTCACTCCGGAAGCAATCTACCATCTTATTGACAGAGAGATCAGAAATTCTATCAACGCGAGAAGACATAGAAGACACTTTGTTGACTTGATGTCTTTTTGGCTTCGGTGACTTTGGGGCTCTCCAATTTTTTCCCAAATCCTTTTGTACCTCCTTGTTTTTTTATTTCTTTTTTGCCAAGGTTGTACATGCTTAGGTTCTGCTTTTTGTAAAATCTCTTTTCATTTTAATGATATTAACATGCTTAGCAAAAAAAAAAAAAAAAAGTTGATTCTCGCAAACCTTATGAGTCAAACAATTACTACCAAAAAAAAAAAAAAACAATTACTACCAAAAGAAACTAAGCTTTGTTTTGCTTCAAGTATTCGGGTAGTTTGGATTTTAAATTTTCTGCCTGATTAAACCGAAGTTTCCAGTTTTCACATATTCGGTTAAGTTTGGTGATTTTGGTTTGTTAGTTCGGTTTGCTCAATTTTTTGGTTTGGGATTTCAAATAAAATTCTGGTATTATTCGAGATAATTTGGCATATGGTTAAGAAATAGAAAAAGGAAAAAAATAGAAAACTGGTCGGTTCGACATTACCAAACCGAACCAAGCTAGACCGAAAATTGAATAGATTATATAATGTTGCTAAACCTGAAAACTGAAAACTGAAAACTTCGGTTCAATTCAGTTCGGTTGGTTTAAAAAAACTCGTTTCGGATTATGGTCTATTGATTTTTCTTTATGGAGATGCTAAATCAATGCAAGGCATTACAAATCTCTCTTTTTTTTTTTTGGTTAAAGGGCTTTCTTGAATAGATATTAAAAAGGATTACAAACATAAAAAAAAAACAGGCCCAAAAGTCCAACGGAATTGGTCAAGTAAACAACTAAACCAAGAAGCTATAAACCGGACTAAACCGGAGACACTTAAACCCTAAACGAAAACGACCCTGCAGCAGCCGCCGCCACATCCGCCGTCGGGAAACGAGTCGCCGGAAAGACCTGGAACTGGATCTGGAGAGAGCCACCAACCTTGCAAAGAAAGCCGGAGAGAAGAGCAGACACCTAGAATATGAATAAGCACCGATCCGAAGAAAACCAAAAGACAGCTACCCTTGGAGATCTCCTTTCACGAACCCGTCTGCGTCCTCAAACAAACAGTCTTACTCGTGAGATCTTAGAGGGACAAGCTTTGAAACACTATCCGCTGCATCAAACGCCACCTCGTGCTACAACAGCCAACGAAAAAGCTGCTGGGAGCACCCTGAAAAGACCAGAAGGAGAGCAAAGTCGAGAAAGGAAGGAGCGGAGCCAGAGGAAGCATCACCCGATCTTGTCCTCATCAGATCTGGGATCCTCACTGGCACCACCACCGTCGATCTACAACAGAGCTGCCGTAGCCTCTCCCAGAAACTCAGATCCGCCACCAACTTGGGAGAGAAGAGCACAAAACCGCCGAAAAAGCACAAGCCATAAAAGAAAAA